AAAAAAAAACGTGCGCATGTTGTTCAGTCAACGCACAGCTTCGTCATAGCGAGCGGAGGAACGGAGAAGCTTGAACGCCCCGCGTCATTTCAGGGCTCCAGACCAGACTGCGACCAAAATTTGAGAGTGTGCGACTGAATTTTACATCCAGTCGCAGATGTGCGACCAGTAAATTTGCCACACGTTAAACGCATGGTAAAGCGGCGCGTCAATGAATCCGTGACAAGAATAGCGCGCGTAAACATCTGTGGGAGGGAGACGGAGACAAATATCACAAACTGATGTGCGTCTGAGCAATCAGCGATCTATCGACTCGTTAGTCGTTGCCTAGCAGCGAATGCAAACAAAATGAAAGTGGAACGAAAATACGCTACTCATTTATGATTAGGACCGTGGAGCTGCAGCAGCAGCGATCCATTGACAAAATAAAGCCCCGAACTTGACAGTCGCGGGCCGATCTCGCTCACGCAACACTGTTACTAGGAGATCCAGTGAAGAAATCCATTGAATTCGCCTCAGAATTAATAACATCAACACCACGAAATCCAGTGAGAAACTCCGATTCGGCGCAGGTTTCTGTTATAAAGCATATCAGATCAAACAGCGCTGACGTGGAAACCAGGAGAAACACTTATAGAAGGCTTTCAGTCCACAAATCAGCCTATATATGATAATGTGTAAGAAATAGTCAAATGCTTACAAGTAGCCTACTACACATCTTTTCCCAGCACTTCAATAATATCATAAATAAATGTTTTATTTTTTTGAATTTTTTATGTGATTACCAACACATTTTTTGTTTATCCTTTAAAGATTGTCCTAAAATGAAAAAAGTACGATGATATTTTCACTACTTTTATTAATTGATATTAAGACATTATAAATGATAATAACTAAGTTAATTTCATCTACACCCTAAATTAAGCTTAGTGATTTATTGTCAGCCCCAGTGCGACCAGAATTTTTTTTTTTTTTTTTTTTTGTAGAACTCGCTGTGAGTTCTCATTTGAGGTGATGCTGCCCTCAACTTTTTAGTCTGGAACCCTGTGAAGTTAAAATAAAACAGAATATCATAATGTTAAGTCTATTTATTATTAAATAATTTGTCAGTAGGCTATTACAGTTATTTTGGGGGAAATTTTTTTTTTTTTTTTGCTGATCCGAAAAATGATCCGATCCGTGAGTTTTTTGATCCGTTGCACCCCTAATGCTAGCCTATATATAGGGCCTGACATTTGGTGTGAGGTATTTCATACAGTGTTAACTCCCTCAAGTGTTCATTACGCAGTGAATTCCCGCCTGTGCGTGGTGATCTGTGCACCGCTGTCTCTCGCTCAGGAGTTTAAGTCAAGTCAAGTAACATTTATTTATATAGCGCTTTTTACAATACAGATTGTATCAAAGCAGCTCCACAGTGATAACATGAAAGTAGTACAACACAGATCAATAATATTGTTAAATATTAAATATCCACAACTAAGCAAGCCAAAACCAAGGCAACAGTGGCAAGGAACCAAAACTCCATCAGATTGGATGGAGTTTAGCATGAGCGCGCTGAGAAGGAGTGATGTGGACACACGCTTCATGTGGAAAAACACCTGCACTGAAATTTGAGAACGAGCTGCATAAACACATTGTTCTGTTACATATTCAACACATAACATTTCAGCCGAATATCAATTAAAGCGTTCACCCCCTGCTGAGACTTGTCTTTTCAAATCTTCCATCTCGTCGTGTCATTATAATGATTGATTTGGCTCCTGGGTTTTATGTTTCACGCTTCAGAAATGTGACATAATTTGTGTTAAGGGAGCAAAGTGAGCATCGATGCTGCATGGATTTTGCGGTGCATTTTTAGGGAGCGAATGTTTCAGTGGACTGGAAGGATTCTGTGATTGAAACAGCCCTTAAAATAGCCAACTACTGAACTAGCGAGCCGATTGAGACGCACCCGTTTGGATACCTTTTTGACCGATGACTTTCCCAACCATTTTTTGTTAGGAAATCATCTTCAAGTAAAATCTAGATGACTATAGAGGGTTTTCACCGACGTCACGTTCTGGGCGGTAACCCGGATGAGCGGCCATTATGGAGGCACTCGGATGTAAACAACAGCATGGACTGCACTGTTTGTGTACAACTGAACACATTGTTATGGTGCGTTCACACCGGACGCGAATAGTGCGTCAGGCGCGAATGATTTCAATGTTAAGTCAATGCAAAGACGTGTTACGCACGTAAAAAATTCCTGCAGCGCGAATGAGGCGTGGAGCACGGAAGATGCGAATACGCCTCATTCGCGCGTCAAGTTTGCGCGAATTGAGCGTCTGCCGTGTTAAGCACGTTACGCGCGAATGATTTAGTTAGTGTCATTTGTGCATTCACGCGTTTGACGCAAATTCGTGTCTGCCGCCCGAGTTGAAAAATCTGAACTTTGGCGTGAATTCACGTCGCGTTAACCAATCAGGAGCCTTCAAACTTGGCGCGGGACAGGCGGAAGTACCGCTGACAGCGGCCGTCATCCAGCGCAGCTCCTGGAGCGAGCAAATGGTGAAACTCGCCAAACGGTTCACCTCAGAAGGGTCCGGTGGACACAAATATACAGCGACGATGATCCCCACGCCGCTGTTCTGCTCTCCAGAGTAAATACAGAGCGGTGACTCTCTCGATGAATGCGCGGTCGACATAAAAACAATGGCCGCCAACGGATTGATTCTAACGCGCGTAAATTTCGCTTCAAACTTTTGTTTTTACGCACGTCAGTTTCACTCTTGACACGCGAATTAACACAAAGTGGTCAAGCGCCAAACTAGACGCGTCAGGCGCGAATTTGACGCGCTATTCACGTCCGGTGTGAACACAGCATTACACTAAAAAAAAACACAGAAAAACATGTGGTAGGTGCAAAATCATATAGAGAAGGACTGCCGAAACAATGCTGTTTTGTTGCAAAGTGCCGGACGACCACAAAATTATTATTTTTGAAACATATTTGGAAACTGGTGCAGACAAGGAAAAAAAAGCTCGCTGTACATACCAGCCTCCTACAGTTCTGCAACTCAAGACGCAGTATAAGTTAGTCAAGCGCGGCGGTGGCTACACAGGTCCATGTTGTAAAATTTAAATAAGACAACATGTCTACATGGCAAGTGTATACCCCTCCATCAGTGTCAATGTCAGTGCCGTTTTGCCCGAGAGCAGCATGGATTCACAAATCGATAAACAGCGTAGACATCATTTTAGATCAGATTCCAAACGGATGCAAAGATAATCGGATTTGGACTGTAGCCATAGTTAACTACGTCAACATTTAAGCCATAGTCAAAGCTTCATTTACACATGATGTGGCTGATGAGCTGATGATGTGCCTCTCTCACCTCAAACGCATTCTTTCATTAGTTTTTTTGCACTCTTCTCTTTAACTTTTGGCAGTCTGTAGAACTCGAAAGGTATTTTCCCGATGCGACCGATTAGTACAGACCAAAACTAGACATTATTCAGCAGAAATAATCAGCCACATTTGCGAGTCCGTTCAGTTCAGTGGCATTGTTTATGTTCTGTGCCTCCAAAATGGCCGACTTCTGGATTGATGACGCGTCGTGAAAACCCTCTATAGAAACTTTTCCATTATTAAAAGGAAGAAATCCCAAACTGAACCCATTTGACCAAAAATCTTTTGTCCTTTTGAGACTTTAAGTCAATATTTCAATAATTAAACATTCATGTTCACGGTTCTCTGATGTCAGTTAGTTAGTAAATTAAACACCTCCTCTTTTTTGTTCTTAAAGAATAATGGTGCTGTTGATGTGCCTTTTTTGTTTCCCTCTGAAGGCAGTTGTCATCACTATGAACTGTCGTTGAAAAAGAGCGTGTGTGAAAATATCTTTTTTGCACCACAGAAGAAATTAAGTACTATGTAAAGTAAAACTATGAATTACTGTATAATTTTTAGTAAAAAACAGTAAAAAGTAAATGGTTTAACATCACAATATATTTTACTGTACAATAATGTCAGATTTATGGCTTTTGGAAGCAAAAAAAAAAATCAATTACTATATAATTTATGATAAAAAAAAACAGTAAAAGTAAACCGTTTAACATCACATGTAATTTTACTGCAAAATACGACCAAATATTTGTTTTGTTTAAGTAAAAACTATGAATTCCCATACAATTTATAGTTAAAAAACAGTAAAAGTTTAACATTGTATTACATTTTACTGTATAATAATGTCAAATTTATGGCTTTTGGTAGTAAAAACTATATTTTACTGTATAATTTTGGTGAAAAACAGTCAAAGGTTTAACATCACATTATACTGTGTGCAATTTAACTGTAAAATCCTGCCAAAGTGTAGTTTTTTGGAAGTAAAAACTATGAGTTACCATATAATTTACAGTGTAAAAACAGTAATAGTTACTGGTTTAACAGCACATTACATGTCATTTTACCGTAAAATACTGTCTAACTTGTTTGATGTGTTTTTTAGGAAACTACGACTTACCATATATTTTACAGTGTAAAAACCATAAAAGTAAATGGTTTAATATCACATTATACATAGTTTTACTGTAAAAGATTGTCAAATTTATGGCTTTTGGAAGAAAAACTATGAATTACTGTATAATTTATAGTGAAAACAGTAAAAGGTTTATCATCACAATATATTTTACTGTACAATAATGTCAGATTTTTGGCTTTTGGAAGCAAAAAAATATTAGTTGCTATATAATTTATGATAAAAAAAACAGTAAAAGTAAACCGTTTAACGTCACATGTAATTTAACTGTAAAATACGGCCAAATGTTTTGTTTTTTGAAAGTAAAAACTATGAATTACCATATAAATTATGCTGCAAACAGTAAAAGTAAATGGTTTAACAGTAATTTTACTGTAAAATACGGTCTAACTTAAGTTGTTTTTAGGAAACTATGAATCATTATAAAATTTCCAGTGCAGGTTAGATACAGGTTAGATTAGAAGGACAGACGAAACTCACCGAACTGAAACTGCTCGTTGTCCATTAGCCGAATGGATGCTGGAGCACATCTCTAGAACAACAATAGAGAAGAGGAAACATGCTCAGACAGAAACAGATTAATAGACGGGGCGTATAATGACCCTCTCCTACACTTTAACAAATCTACAACATCATTATTGCTCAGACCGTTGTTAGGAAACACCTACAGTACAGCAAAATGAGTTCCAATTAAAACAAAAGCCGATTTGTTTAAAGGCAGCCTTGGGCTGAAACGGATGGAGGAGCAGCATAATCAATAAATTCATTTTAAGTTTGGATGCCAGTTTGTTTATGGACTAATAAGAGGCAGTGCTGTACAGAACGGCAACACTCGATCATCAATAAGGGCTACATCAGCAGCAACACACAGGCTAATGAGAAGCCCAGACCTGAGCCCATTAGCATCACACACACGGTTCAGCATACACTCCTCACAGTAAAGCTTCTTCACTTCGACAGCTCACTTTCCACTTCGCTTTAGTCGTGTTCTTTAGACAAAAATGCATAAAAAAGTCATCTAAAATCTAACTGTTTGGAAAACTTTAGAACAAATAAATACAACAGAACAAAGATGAAATACTGAGTTTGTTGCAAAGTCCTATTTGTTTGAACCGCGAAAGACATCAAAGTTTCCGCTACTCCTACATCCCACGTCATGCATTGGTTACACTTTTGGCGAATAATCAAAGAATCCAGTAAAAATATTGTACATAACTATTTCCCTGTAGCTCAAACAGTGGAGCGCTGGTGCTTGCAACGCCAATGTCATGGGTTCGATTCCCAGGGAAAGCAAGAAGTGATAAGAATGTAAATGTATGCAAGTAGCTTTGGATACAAGCGTCTGCCTAATGCATAAATGTTTTCAATATTGATGATAAACAGAAATGTTTCTGGAGCATCAGATCATCATATTAGAGTGATTTCTGAAGGATCATGTGACACTGAAGACTGGAGTAATGATGATAAATACAGCTTTGATCACAGGAATAAATTACACTCTACTATATATTCACATGGAAAACATTTTCAATTCTAATATTATTTCACAATATTACTGTTTTTTTTTTTTTGCTTTTTCAATCAAATAAATGCAGCCTTGGTGAGCATAAGAGACTTCTTTAAAAAACATAAAAAATATTATATTTATATATATATATATATATATATATATATATATATATATAATAAAAAAAATAAAATATATATAAAATAAAATATATGATAATATATGTATAAAATTATTATAATATAAATATAATGTATAATATATTAAAACAATATATATATATATATATATATATATAAATTATAAAAAATATTTTATATATATATATATATATATATATATATAAATTATAAAAAATATTTTATATATATATATATATATATATATATATATATACTGTATATATATATAAATTATAAAAAATATTTTATATATATATATATAAAATATTACCCATCCCAAACTTTTGAATGGCAGTGTGTGTGTGTGTATTAGTCACATGTAGGCCTGTACTGACCTGTCTGGCCACCTCTCTCAGGCACGCCACGCCCTGCTGGAAGTTTGGGAATACCACAGAGCCATACTTCTGGTACTCAGGAATGGGTCGGATCTTCATTGTAACTTCAGTCACCACTCCCAGAGTTCCTGAAAAACGAGACACACACACCATTGGCATGTGCACGGACAGATGGGAGTTCACACCAGCAACCGTTGTCAAATGAGGTTTGATCTGATCCAGTATTACTTTATCACACACAAGGGCTGAAAATGTGTGCAGTTTGTAATGTGCATGATCTGAAAAGTCCTTAACTCCAGCAACAGGATATAACAGTGAGTCTGAGAGTTGTACACAGCACACACACACACGAAAGGAGCCCCTGACTCTCTGCAGGAGATCTGCATGTTCATTTTCACCTGAACGCTCAAGTTTCTTCCACTACAAAAGGAAGCAAAGAGATTTACAGACTGTGTGTTCTGTGACATAAAGCAGGTCAGTATCAAACGACACACTGGGGGGAGAGCAGAGACACCGGGGCCCAGCGCAGCAGGCCCTCTGTCCCGGACCAGCATGACCTCTGACCCCTGCATCTGCTGCTTCTACACTCATTACCGAAAGCCCAGAGCAAGCGAACGTGTATGAGAGTGTAACAGTCCTGTGGAGAGTTTATACGAGCCATCATTGAGACCGTATGCTGGATTGAAGCTTTATGAGCAGAACATACCTCAGCATCAAAACTCACCCTTCACTCTTATTCTCTTCATGAAAATGTGTTCAAAATCTATGGTTTTGGAAGTAAAAACTCTGAATTACCATACAACTTAGTTAAAAACAGTAAAAGTTTAACATCGCATTACATTTTACTGTATAATAATGTCAAATTTATGATTTTGGAAGTAAAAACTGTCAAATTTACAGTTAAAAACAGTAAAAAAAAGTTTAAAAAAGTTTTTGTTTTTTTTCGCATTACTTTTTACTGTATAATAACGTCAAATTTATGGCTTTTGGAAGTAAAAACTATATTTCACCGTATAATTTTGATGAAAAACAGTCAAAGGTTTAACATCACATTATACTGCAAGTAATTTAACTGTAAAATCCTGCCAAATTTTAGTTTTTTGGAAGTAAAAACTATGAATTACCATATCATTTACAGTGTAAAAACATTAAAAGTTCACAGCACATTACATGTAATTTTACCGTAAAATACTGTCCAACTTGTTTGTTGTGTTTTTTAGGAAACTATGAATTACCATACAATTTATAGTTAAAATCAGTAAAAGTTTAACATTGTATTACATTTTACTGTATAATAATGTCAAATTTATGGCTTTTGGTAGTAAAAACTATATTTTACTGTATAATTTTGGTGAAAAACAGTCAAAGGTTTAACATCACATTATACTGTGTGCAATTTAACTGTAAAATCCTGCCAAAGTTTAGTTTTTTGGAAGTAAAAACTATGAGTTACCATATATAAAACAGTAATAGTTACTGGTTTAACAGCACATTACATGTAATTTTACCGTAAAATACTGTCTAACTTGTTTGTTGTGTTTTTTTAGGAAACTACGAATTACCATATATTTTACAGTGTAAAAACCATAAAAGTAAATGGTTTAATATCACATTATACATAGTTTTACTGTAAAATATTGTCAAATTTATGGCTTTTGGAAGTAAAAACTATGAATTACTGTATAATTTATAGTGAAAACAGTAAAAAGTAAATGGTTTAACATCACAATATATTTTACTGTACAATAATGTCAGATTTATGGCTTTTGGAAGAAAAAAAAAATCAATTACTATATAATTTATGATAAAAAAACAGTAAAAGTAAGCTGTTTAACATCAAATGTAATTTTACTGCAAAATAAGGCCAAATGTTTGTTTTGTTTTTTAAGTAAAAACTATGAATTCCCATACAATTTATAGTTAAAAACAGTAAAAGGTTAACATTGTATAACATTTTACTGTATAATAATGTCAAATTTATGGCTTTTGGTAGTAAAAACTATATTTTACTGTATAATTTTGGTGAAAAACAGTCAAAGGTTTAACATCACATTATACAGTGTGCAATTGCTATATAATGTATGATAAAACAACAGTAAAAGTAAACCGTTTAAAGTCACATGTAATTTTACTGTAAAATACGGACAAATGTTTGTTTTTTGAAAGTAAAAACTATGAATTACCAAATAAATTATGCTGCAAACAGTAAAAGTAAATGGTTTAACAGTAATTTTACTGTAAAATACTGTCTAATTTAAGTTGTTTTTAGGAAACTATTAATTATTATAAAATTTCCAGTGCAAAACAGTAAAAGAACTTTCCCAGAAGTCCCTGAGTGAGTGACACAACACATATGATTATATTTCAATTGTTTGTTGTTCTTATTTTTGTTTTCAATAATGCAAATTAGGGTGTTTTGTTGCAAATTATGCTATTTAGTTAATATTTATTGCATTATTTTAGTGTAATGTGTCATATCACATATATTTTAAACACTATCCTGTAATATCTGAAATATTGTATCATTTCTTTTTTACTGGATTCTGAATTTCTGCCAACAACTGTTTTATTTACAATAAATTTAACAGGTTATTAGTAACACTTTATAATAACTCCATGCTATTAATCATTAGTTAAGCATTAGTAAACAGTCATCATTTATAAAGCATTAATAGAAATTAATAAGCAATTTATCATTTCTAAATGAAGCATTATTTACATTTGTCATTGATTCATAATATCACTTAAATAGATCACTTAGAAGTTGTATCGAATGCAAAACACTTCTTTAAATGTAACAAAACTCCAGTTTACCATCAAACACACACACCTCTGACAGCAGAATCATGACTGCTGTAAAAATAACAACAATCTGCCATCTGAACTTTAGTGTGTCAAAGGAGAAAAAGTGAAATGTGTCCTGCTTCAGGACCTAAATGTCCCTGACATTACAAACCCATTAAACAAGCCAGATGTCCCTCCTAACGAATCATGAATGTTTAATTAATGCAGATTAAACCTGGGAGACAATCATCCTCCCACACAGACTTCTTGTGTGCCGTAAAGAGCTTCAGGCCCATTCTCATCACTTCAGGGCTTCATGAATGCCTTAATTTTTAGAGAAAAAATAATAATAATATAATTTTCTTTGGATAAGGAATACTTTTAAACAGAATCGTGACATGTGATAAATATCAAGCACATACTTCTGACCTGTTGCCCTGTCTGAGTCTGTAAGTGTGTGTGAGAAACATTACACTGTTAGTGAAACATGTGTCACTGCCCTCTACTGACTAACCCCAACGCCTAAATATAGCTTTTATTTGAGGTAAACCACAGCTTCACCAGACTTTCATTTGCTAAATTATAAATTCCAGCCATTGTTTGCCTCTATTTAGATATTTTTTGTTTAATTATACAGGGGACGGGATCAGAAAGGACGTGATTCAGACTCGGGTCATCTGAAGCGCAGCTGCAACAGAAATAGGCTGTCATCATTTCACCTCAAAATCCAAAAGATGGAATTGAGAAATTAAGGAAAATTAAGACTAATAAACATTAGGAATTTGTGTTTAAAATATGTTTGCGTGTCTCTGTTTAAGAGCCGATAGAAACGGAAACCAAACGGCTAACTCGATAATTATTTTTGCATACAAAACCAGACGTTACACGTTCAGATCAAGCCTACACATGCTCCTGTTGATATAAGTATTTGAAATGAACATGATTTCTAGTGACATATCAGGGAAAATCTATGATTAATGCATACTGCTCCTTTACTTAATCCAGAGCAGACACTTATCTCGGTTGAGATGTGGTTTGGGAAAGGGTAAAGAAACACACACCGTCGCCCAGCCTCTCGGGAACCTGGTGTCAGATGTACCCCATACACACCGTTTGACCATTTAAAACTTAAAATAACAAGAAAAACGAATGAAAACTGACTAACTGCAATGCATTACAATGGACGTGGAAGCAGAGAATGTCCGAGTGTATTGGGTTAGCTGCGCACTGTGATTGGCTCATCGCGTCTGAGGGCGTGGCTTAAAGGGTTAAAGAGATAGTTCACCCAAAATGGAAAAACGTATTATCATTCACTCATAAATTCCTATTTTCTGATGAACAAACAAAAAAGATGACTTGGACTATGGAAATACTATTGAGTCCATCAACTGTTTGGCAAACCATATTCTTCAAAATATCTTGTGTTTGTGTTCAGCTTGGAACAACATGAGGGCGAGTAAACGATGACAAAATTATCATTTAATTCTCACGATGTATAGAAATATACCTTAGAGGGGAAATATGAGCCAGACATGCTCTTAACAGGTTTCTTGAGATTCACACACACCTTCTGAGCCCATGATGAAGTGATGTATGTCGGGGCCCGTGGACATGCGGGGCCCCAGACAGCTCTTCTCAATCACTCCTCTAGGGGTCACCATCTTTATATGCACCACCTGGGAACACAGCAGATCACAGGTAACATGATGAGCACAAGACTGATGCGGATAAAACATGCGTGTGTGTGTGGAGACACAGCAAAACATACCAGGTCCTCAATGTTGCCGTAGATGTTCTTCTTCATGCCCGAGGCGCGGGTCGCCACCCATCCGCCCAGGGAACTGAACTCCATGGAGTCCGGCTCGTGGCCCGTACAGTAGCCATGCTCGTTCAACTACACACACACACACACAAAACATCTTACTTGCAAAGTATTTTTTTTTATTAAAACTAGTGCTGGGCAACAATTAATTGCATCCAAAATAAAAGTTTGTGTTTACATAATATGTGTGTGTGTGTACGGTGTATAATTATTTTGTATATATAAATACCCACACATTCACGTATATATTTAAGAAGTATTTGCATGTATATTTTGTTTATATATATATATTAGGGCTGTGCAAAAATTAATTGCGATTAATTGCATCCAAAATAAAAGTCTGTGTTTACATAATATATTTGTGTGTGCTGTATATAATTATTTTGTATATATAAATACACACACATGCATGTATATATTTAAGAATTATTTGCACTTAAATTCTGTATATATATATATATATATATATACATAAATAAATGCATAATCTATATTATATAAATATAAATATTTTATATATGAATAACACATTTTCTTAAATATATACAAGCATGTGTGTGTATTTATATATACAAAATAATTATATACAGCACACTCAAATATATTATGTAAACACAGACTTTTATTTTGGATGCGATTAATCGCAATTAATTTTTGCATAGCCCTAATTAATATTATATATAAATATTTTATATATATATATATAACAATTTTTTCTTAAATAATTAATGCATAAGTGTGTCTTTATATAAACCAAATAATTATACACACTACACACACATATATATTTTGTAAACACAAACTTATTTAGCACAATATATATATACATGTATATATACACACACACACACACCCCTGGATACAATAGCAGCTGGTGAACAGATGTTAAACATCATCGCTGTTCCAACATGGTGTATTTTAGCACAGCTGGATCCCTGTCCTGACCAATCAGCATCCAGGACCAGGACGAGATCGGTTTCATAATAAAAATGTGAATGACGGTAAAACACAACAGCCTCACAGGAAATGAGTTTCTGGATAAACACAGAACTACTGAAGCCTTATGGAGCGTTACAGACGTTTCCTGCGGTCAGACTCACAATGTGTGTGTGTATGTGTGTGTGTGTGTGTGACAGCCGTATACCTGTAAGAGAGCTGATGGACTTATTGATCAGTCTCAGATAAAACACACGCTCCAGGTGATTTTATTAAGCAAACCCCCGAGAAATACACACTCACTTTAATGTTTCACCATCTGTCCAGCTTCCCTCCCTCCACACACACACACACACACACACACACACACAGTGATGGGCATGTTTATGATGCATCTCACACACACACACACACACACACACATATACTACACCACACCAGCAGCACCAGTCCCATTTTTCGACATTAGTTTAATGGGACCATCTGCTGTGTGTGTGTGTGTGTGTGTGTGTGTGTGTGTGTGTGTGTGTGTGTGTACTACAGACAGAAAGTCCCAAACAAATGACCTGTTATTACCCTTCAGTACAATCTGTATATTTTCTCTCCTTACACGAACCCGACCCCTAAACCTACCCTTCACACAAAACTCAAACGTGTCGGAATTGGCTAAAAAAAAAAAGTCTAATGTTGCGAAACCAAAAAAAACTTGATATAAATCTGAAAAAAAAAATTCTGATAAAGTCCAAAATAAATAATTATGCATTTTAAAAAAATATCACTCAGTCTGATTCATAAGCTGTTTTCCTCATGGGGACCAAACAATGTCCCACAAGGACAAGGATTTCTGCTATTACTATCCTTGTAGGGACATTTAGGGAACACCTGAACCACACACACTATATATATATATGAAGAGTTCAGATGCAAAAGCCTCTAAATGCCATTTGAAATTTTCTTTTTTAATGATGATTTTTATCAAACTTGTATATTTAAGTTCAGTAATTTCACTTAAATAATAATTAATAGGTAATTATCATTGGCATTTAAGTGAAATCACTGAACTTAAATATACAAGCTTGATAAAAATCATCATTAAAAAAGAAAATTTCAAATGGCATTTAGAGGCTTTTGCATCTGAACTCTTCATATATATATATATATACACACAGTAATGTGCAGAAAGCTGTTGTAAAATCAGTGTGTGGACCAATGACCTGTCTCTCCAGATCCTGTCCGATGATCCCAGCCTCCACATGAGCCGTCAGATTCTTCTCATCAATCCACAAGATTCGGTTCTGAAGGAAAGGAACAAACAGCAGAAGATCACAGGTCACTCGTTTAACATTTATCAGTCGATCATTTTTTATCATTTTTAATATTCATTTATCCGCCATTATAACTGCCGATACGGATAGTTTGTAAAATGCCTAATATCGGCCGATATATCGGTCCGGCTCTATTAAAAGCACACATAAATGAAGGTGACTTGACTAGATTGAAGTGCAGTGATGTCGGCATTATGAGTGTGTTAACAGATCTCCCTCAAACCACACGTCAAACTCGTTCACTGCCGCTAAACTCAGCCCACATATCAGGTCAATGTGTGTGTGTGTGTGAACCACAAACCATAGTAACACCACTCGCTGCAAACCATCTCATCAGACAGATAATCGGGACTTTCCTCAAGTGAACAATACACACACACACTCGCACCTTTGCGTGCAGCTCGGGCTTCAGCTGGTGTGTGTGTTTCAGGCGTTCTGACTATCAAGCAGGTTTTGTCCCACAGGGTTAAACACTCTTCAGGAAACCACAGTTGGCTCCGCCCCCACCGCTATCAATCACACACTGCGCTCATAAAACAACCTCACCGCTCACGACACACTGCCTTTCATGTGCTCGACCCCACGACCGCAACACGGGTCGGCCGAGGTCAGAGCCGCAGATGAAGTATGCGGAGAGAGGAGAAACCCAGACAGAAGAACAGACAGGTAGAGCCAACAGAGAGAGCTCAGTGTGTGTGTGTGTGTGTGTGTACCTTTAAAGGAGTAGTTCACTTTTAAAAAAAACTTTTGCTGATAATTTACTCACCTCCATGACATTCAAGATGTCCACGTCTTTCTTTCTTCAGTCGAAAAGAAATTAAGGTTTTTGATGAAAACATTCCAGGATTTTCTCCATATAATGGACTTCAATGGGAACCAAATGGTTCAAGGTCCAAAAGACAGTTTCAGTGCAGCTTCAAAGGGCTTTAAACGATTCCAGACGATGAATAAGGGTCTTATCAAGTGAAACGATCGCATATTTAATAAATAAATAAAAAAAGTTTAAGCTTTATAAGCTCAAACGCTCGCCTTGTTCTGTTCTGTGTGACTCTCCTGTTTGAACTCGTTCATCAAAATGAAGTAATCGTTTTCCGTGTCATTTGTTTGATTCAATGAACGAACTGATTTGGAAAAAAAATAAACCGTTCAAAGGGCTTTAAACGACACCAGATGATAAATAAGGGTCTTATCTAGTGAAACGATCGCTCATTTAAAAAATAAATTAAAAAAGTTTCCGTTTTATAAGCACAAATGCTCGCCTTGATCTGTTCTGGAATGAGCGTTCGTGACTCTCCTGTTCGAACTCGTTCATCAAAATGAACAAATCTTTTTTCGAGTCATGACTCAAAGGGTCCTTGATAAGACCCTTATTCATCGTCTGGAATCGTTTAAAGCCCTTTGAAGCTGCACTGAAACTCTCATTTGGACCTTGAACCGTTTGGTTCCCATTGAAGTCCATTATACGGAGAAAAATCCTGGAATGTTTTCATCAAAAACCTTAATTTCTTTTCGACTGAAGAAAGAAAGACATGGACATCTTGGATGACATGGGGGTGAGTAAATTATCAGAAGAAGTTTTTTTTAAAAGTGAACTACTCCTTTAAGATATGCACCATAAATACACACACACACACCAGTGTGTATGCATGTAATGGAGCAAACACTCACCATCTGAGATGTGTCCAGAGAAACAATGGAGCGAGTCTCCTCCTGAGGGCACTCAAGAGCACTGGACACACTCGTGCCACCTGAGAGAGAGAGAGAGAGAGAGAGAGAGAGAGAGAGAGAGAGAGAGAGAGGAGAAGAGAGAGAGAGAGAGAGAGAGAGAGAGAGAGAGAGAGAGAGAGAGAGAGAGAGAGAGAAGAGAGAGAGAGAGAGGAGAGAGAGAGAGAGAGAGAGAGAGAGAGAGAGAGAGAGAGAGAGAGAGAGAGAGAGAGAGAGAGAGAGAGAGAGAAGAGAGAGAGAGAGAGAGAGAGAGAGAGAGAGAGAGAGAGAGAGAGAGAGAGAGAGAGAGAGAGAGAGAGAGAGTATACTGTTACGTTAATATTACAGGGTTATGGTTAATTGTGTGTAATTATGCATAACTTGTGAAGGTACTCGCCTCCGTAGGGGATCAAGCAGACGTTGTGTTTACAGGCCAGATCCACGATCTTCTCCACATCACTGTGACAGCCTGACAACACCAAACACACACACACACCGCCCTCATATCAGTCATAACACACAAGCCTGGCATGAAAAGCATATAAATATAAATAAAAATACATTTTTTAAAGATGTCTCTTTTGCTCACCAAGCCTGCTTATTTTTGCAGGAAATCATGATACATTGTTCAGGATTGTTTGATGAATAGAAAGTTAAATATAAATCTTTTGTAATATTCGAAATGTCTTTATATCAGTGCTGTGAAATGATTAATCACATCCAAAATAAAAGTTGGTGTTTACATAATATGTGTGTGTTTGTGTGCGTGTACGGGGTATAATTATCTTGTGTATGTAAATACACACACACGTATGGCAAGCCGTTTTCACTTTTATTAATTTCCAGGATATGAATTCTTGATATCAAAATATGTAATTGTTGATATCAAGAATTGATTTTTTTTTGTAGTAGAAATATCATTTTTAATATCAATAATTACATTGTTACAAGTAAAAATGTGAATTCATGATATCAACAATTCAATTGCTACCATTAACTAGTTTACTTGTATTAATGTAATTATTGATATTAAAAATGATATTTCTACTAGTAAAAAATCAATTCTTGAGATCAACAATTACATTTTTTGATATCAAGAATTCAAATCCTGGAAATTAATAAAAGTTAAAATCACTTGCCATACACATGCATGTAAATATTTATGATATGTATATATACGTATATGTATATGTCTATATCTATATCTATATATATATATATATATACACACACACATATATATATATATATATATATATATATATTATATATATGTGTATGTATATATATATATATATATGTGTGTGTGTATGTATTATATATATAGATATAGATTATATAAATACACATACACATTATATACGTATACTATATATATATATATATATATATATATACACACATACACATATATATATATATATATAGCTTATATTTATATGTAATATAAACTACATATAAATATATATACATGCAAATATTTCATAAATATATGCATGCATGTCTGTGTATTTATATACACAAAATAATTAATTATACCCCGTACACACACACACACATATATATTATGTAAACACAAACTTTTCAGTTTCAGTTCACAAGCCTTCAGTTACTGTGACGTAAACCGGATGTGATTATGTCCCGTGGGATCTGATTGGACGGGGAACACGGGTCATTTCAGAGGCAGAGGATGTTCTGAAGGAGACCGCGAGGGTGACGGGACGGGTGAACTCTCCGAGAGGGAGGACATGATTTGCTTTCTCCTAAACAAAGCTCGGCTGTTAATCAGAGGTGCTGAATGGGTGCTGTCAGGAATCCACCAATCAGAGAGCAGCTAGAATCTCAGTGGACGGGGAACGCCCCTTTCCCTCTAATGAAAGCAGCTTCTCATGAATATTAATGAGCAAACTGAGGCTGTCACTCACTGGGCCAAACCACCATGTCGGGCACGCGTCCGATCCTCCCCTCGCGCAGGGCGAAGATCTCATGCAGGCAGTGACCTGAGGAAGAGACACCCCACACACACACACACACTCTTAGAAACATCATTACTAGTATCATTTACTAATAGTAGTAAACCTCGCAATAAATATACTAGTTTGAAGTAGGCATGATTATTTTAAGACATTACTTGGCAAGGACTATTAAAGTGATCAAAACTTACAGTAAAATTTATTTGCACGTTGCTAAAAACAAACAAATCATGTTTTCCACACAAATATGAAGCGGCACAATGGTTTTCAACATTGATAATAATCAGAAATGTTTCTTGAGTATCAAATCCTCATGTTACTTTAGAAAACATTTAAACAGTTACTTTAAATGGTTATAATATTTCACTTTTTACTGTATTTTTGATCAAATAAATATAGCTTTAGACTTCTGTACAATTATTAATATATGAAATATTAGTGTTTTGATTAAAAAAAACACATTCTTTAATTTATTTTAGCTTCAGCAATTTATTTCACCCTTAAATCATAAAATAATTCTATTTTGCATAAATAAAACCTATTTATATTATTTTAACATTATAATTTTTAGCATCTTCACATTTTAATAAGAAAAGTATATTAAAATAAGCTGAATTTCACTGTTTTTACTGTATTTTTGATCAAATAAATATACCTTTAGACTTCTGTACAATGATTCATATATTAAATATTAGTGTTTTGATTAAAAAAACACATTCTTTAATTTATTTTAGCTTCAGAAATTTATTTCACCCTTAAATCATAAGAAAAACAAAACTGAAATCATAAAATAATTATACTTTGCATAAATAAAACCTATTTATATTATTTTAGCATTATAATTTCTAGCATCATCACATTTTAATAAGAAAAGTATATTAAAATAAGCTGAATTTCACTGTTTTTACTGTATTTTTGATCAAATAAATATAGCTTTAGACTTCTGTACAATGATTCATATATTAAATGTTAGTGTTTTGATTACAAAAAAAAACACATTCTTTAATTTATTTTCGCTTTAGCAATTATACCATAATCTAAAAAACTCAAATTTGTGATAATAAAAGAAAAAAAATAATTTATTTCACCCTTAAATCAAAAGAAAACTGAAAAAAAGAAAAACTGAAATCATAAAATATTCTAGTTTGCATAAATAAAACCTATTTATATTATTTTAGCATTATAATTTTTAGCATCACATTTTAATAAGAAAAGTATATTAAAATAAGCTGAATTTCACTGTTTTTACTGTATTTTTGATCAAATAAATATAGCTTTAGACTTCTGTACAATTATTAATATATTAAATATTAGTGTTTTGATAAAAAAACGCATTCTTTAATTTATTTTTGCTTCAGCAATTCCACCACAATCTAAAAAAACTCAAATTTGTGATAATAAAAGAAAAAAAAAATTATTTCACCCTTAAATCAAAAGAAAACTGAAAAAAAGAAAAACTGAAATCATAAAATAATTCTAGTTTGCATAAATAAAACCTATTTATATTATTATAACATTATAATTTTTAGAGTCATTACATTTTAATAAGAAATTAATTAAAATAAGCTGAATTTCTGTATGAAACAAATTTCCCACACGGTGAAATACACAACTAAATTCATAAGCATGCTTGGAAAATTGGTAAAACTTCTCTCTGTTCTTTACCATGCGCTCGGAAAACCCGGTCCTCCGGGTCATGTGACGCGGACACACCCGCCGCTTTCAGATCCTCCACGAAGGGCTCGCTCAGCTTAGGAGGAGCGACTGCGCTTAAATTCAGAGTGGGCTAGAGGAACACACATCATATTACACACACACCATCACAGTCTGACACACAGCTGTCTGACACACACTCCACTTACTGTGGCAGGAGATTTATGCTGTAAATTGGCTCCAAACGTGCCCTCGAACCAGTCCTTCAGACTCGGCAAGATCAGCCCACTCAACCGGTACCTGAAACACACACACACACACACACACACACTTCCAGGAGTCAGTCATCTGCACACTGACACTGTACCACTTCATGAAACACACACACACACTGCTCTAAATCTGTATATCCCATGCAAATCTACACAAAACATGTAATGTGTGGGTCAATAATGACTAGTTCATGTCAACTTTACTGTTATTATATACATTTTTACACTTTAATAAAAATCAAATCGTTGTGATTTTTTTCCTTTATGATTTGTCTTCGTAATTCAATTGTAAAGAATTATTGAATCCCTGTTTTGAACAGTCTCTTCGGTCAGATCAGCCTGTGTGTTCAGTGTTGCAGCCACTAGATGGCGTGAGCACATCACACTCGACACGACCGCACACCCCAAGCTCATACTTTGTGTGTGTTTTATATTTAATACCCAAGTAAAAACAATATTGTATAGAAAAAGTATACATTTTCCCACAAAATATGAAACCATGATAACCACTAAGTACCAATGTCGATAACTCCTCATATTAGAGAGATCATGTGACCCTGCAGACTGGAGTAATGATGAAAGGTTTTCTCTGCGTGTGATATTAGATGTGGACAAACGTTTCAATACACATGATCTTTGAAAGACATTTCTGTGTGAAGGAGGCATATGGCAGTGAGAGCACATCATCTGTGTGTGTGTGTGTGATGAAGCAGCGCCACTCTGTCTGTACGATTACACAGTGTGTGTGTGTGTGGGTCCTTGAGACTGCTCTGTTCAGACTCGTCTCATGAAAGCCTCAACACTGTGTGAACTCGAGTGCACTATAGCAATGTTTGCAGAACACAATGACACGTTTCAAAAACACAACAATGCACAAAATCCACATCGCATAGCTACACATCACGTGCACGAGTAACAATACAGAAAATAGTTTAAAGTGACCCTTTATGTGTCATTAAATGTTCCTAATTTTGTTTAACATGCGTCCCAAAAAATATGTAATTTTCTCATAATATCCATCCAGTGTCTGAAATGGTTCAACAAAGGATTCAGTCTCTCTAAACCCCTCCTTTCCTGAGAGTCTGCTCTGCTCTGATTGGTCAGATGACCCAGTCAGTTGTGATTGGTCTACTCTGCTCTGATTGGTCAGATGACCCAGTCTGTTGTGATTGGTCTACTCTGCTCTGATTGGTCAGATGACCCAGTCTGTTGTGATTGGTCTACTCTGCTCTGATTGGTCAGATGACCCAGTCAGTTGTGATTGGTCTACTCTGCTCTGATTGGTCAGATGACCCAGTCTGTTGTGATTGGTCTACTCTGCTCTGATTGGTCAGATGACCCAGTCTGTTGTGATTGGTATAATCTACTCTGATTGGTCAGATGACTCAGTTTGTTGTGATTGGTCTACTCTGCTCTGATTGGTCAGATGTCCCAGTCTGTGTGATTGGTGTACTCTGCTCTGATTGGTCAGATGACCCAGTCTGTTGTGATTGGTCTACTCTGCTCTGATTGGTCAGATGACCCAGTCTGTTGTGATTGGTCTACTCTGCTCTGATTGGTCAGATGACCCAGTTTGTTGTGATTGGTCTACTCTGCTCTGATTGGTCAGATGACCCAGTTTGTTGTGATTGGTCTACTCTGCTCTGATTGGTCAGATGACCCAGTTTGTTGTGATTGGTCTACTCTGCTCTGATTGGTCAGATGACCCAGTCTGTTGTGATTGGTCTACTCTGCTCTGATTGGTCAGATGACCCAGTTTGTTGTGATTGGTCTACTCTGCTCTGATTGGTCAGATGACCCAGTCTGTTGTGATTGGTGTACTCTGCTCTGATTGGTCAGATGACCCAGTCTGTTGTGATTGGTCTACTCTGCTCTGATTGGTCAGATGGCCCAGTCTGTTGTGATTGGTCTACTCTGCTCTGATTGGTCAGATGACCCAGTCAGTTGTGATTGGTCTACTCTGCTCTGATTGGTCAGATGACCCAGTCTGTTGTGATTGGTCTACTCTGCTCTGATTGGTCAGATGACCCAGTCTGTTGTGATTGGTCTACTCTGCTCTGATTGGTCAGATGACCCAGTCTGTTGTGATTGGTCTACTCTGCCCTGATTGGTCAGATGGCCCAGTCTGTTGTGATTGGTCTACTCTGCTCTGATTGGTCAGATGACCCAGTCTGTTGGTGATTGGTCTACTCTGCTCTGATTGGTCAGATGACCCAGTCTGTTGTGATTGGTCTACTCTGCTCTGATTGGTCAGATGACCCAGTCTGTTGTGATTGGTCTACTCTGCTCTGATTGGTCAGATGACCCAGTCTGTTGTGATTGGTCTACTCTGCTCTGATTGGTCAGATGACTCAGTCTGTTGTGATTGGTCTACTCTGCTCTGATTGGTCAGATGACTCAGTCTGTTGTGATTGGTCTACTCTGCTCTGATTGGTCAGATGACTCAGTCTGTTGTGATTGGACCGCTTGCAGCACTTGTTGGAAACAAAATGTACTTGATATGCAGAGATACAAACAGGAACAAACTTTAAACTATTAACAAAATTAAATACATTAACAATTAACTTACTGACTGTATGCTCTTGCATTCCTCAGTAAAAAGAAAGTCATACAGACATCAAGGCGAGTAAAGGATGACAGAACGGTCGGTTTGTGGGATTGTAGTGCACTCAGCTCTGCTTAACACATCTATATGATGTTGAAATCCACCCTGATCAATTCTGCATATTTTCCCCAGAACAGATGAAGAACATATCGGAGTCTAATGGGTATTTGTTTGGTGTGTCGTACTCACCGTTTGCCTGTGAACTCAGCTTGGCCCTTTTTATTAAACAGGAACCTGGAGTCACTGTAACCCCAGCCATTCCACTTCATGATCTCCTGCCTGAAAACACACAGGCCCACGAGTTTACATGCCGTTTAACAATGTCACAAACTATATTCAATGACATGCAACCTTTGTCTTGCACGTCTGCACATATAATATTCAATTCCAGTGACTTGCAGAGAGATGAACCACTTCTGTCTTCTGTCTCATGATCAAATGATAGCGTTACTATAAGGTCACAGCATTCACTTCTGCTAAGAGAGCGTCGGATAGGAAACACTTTAAACAAGAGAAGTTAAAATATATTTCCTGCTGTTTTTATCTATTCGAGTCAGCACTATTTTAAGTGTACTAAACAAAAAAATATTTCTAATATTATTTAATATTACTACTTTTTTATATTATGTGACAAATATATCTGCATTTTTACATATCTGTACGGTCATTTATTTCACAATATTTCTAAACAATGACAAATTGTTAACGTTGAGTGTAAAATTGTGGTTTAACAAAATGTTTAGCAAAATATTGTCATGATTTTCTTTATTAAATGATGTCTCCTAAATGTATTTGTGTTTTTACAATGGGGTGTTTTTGTTGCTTACATACAGCACAAGTAGGCTTTGAATTGAATTTACAAATAAGTAAACAGTTAGTAATAAAATAACAAATACATACGTTACAAATGAGAGCACACGTTAATAAAATGAAATACAACAGTGCTTTAAGTTTTTCTACAGTAGTATAAGAAATACCACAGACACTGAACAAAGACATCAAAGGTAAAATAACACCGTATAGATTTAATTGTATAAATGAAAAACAGATGAATGCTTACAATTAAGGTTACAAAAGTTATTCAGCAGATAGTTTTTTGTTGTTTGATGAACTTTAATGACAGACGACAGCAGGTCTATTAGGCTGCTGTCACTTTAAGAGTGAATGCACAAATCCAATATACTCATACACGTGTATTTGCTTTCCCAACTCGCTTAAGACAGACATAAGCACTGTGTTTAGGTGCATACTCACCTAGACGAGCAGTTATCATTTTGTGTGTAATGTGTATTGGGTCAGTTAAGCACAAACAAACTGAATTTTGGTACTCGTGATTGTTTGTGCGCGCACTTCGAGTGACAACCCTAGCAAAGTCTAATAATAGATACTAATAAACCCTAAATATACCCTCAATGAGCCACAAAAATGTCATTCAGTCCATGTATGTTCACTCCTTCAGAGACGTAGTTATACAGTGACAAGTGGAAGGAACCCGTCTCATTGCATAAATTACACAGGAAAATTATTTTAGGGATTTTTTAGGCATTTTGAAATTGAACTAAAAGACAAGCTGGATTGATTCATTATACAAAAGCTCTCGAACAAAGCAACTTTCTTTGGATATAACAATCTGCTGCAGTAGTCTGTTAGCAAATGGGACCAAAAATGTAAAAACGAAAGAATCTATTAGATCTTTCTTGGTGTATTTTTCTTGTTTGCTTTCTTTGAGGAAATATGTTCATCTAGCACACACACACTACCAAGAGGAAATATGTTAAACCCTACAGTATAATGCCTGGCATGATAAGATACAAGACAAAGCTTTCTACAACTGGCAGTTCAACAATCTCTACATCTACATTTCTCTTTGACATTCACACACACACATACAGAAATTCCAGCACTATCTTATCAATGAACTGCACTAGATACACAGAGCTTCAAGATAAAAGCGAGGCCTTATTGTTTTAAAGTGTTTCTTTCCACACATCTGGGAATGTCACACATATGTTGACCAGGAGAAGTAAAGTAAGGGCCTGTCCCGCCGACACACACACCTGCTGTCTAGGCCTCTTGAGAATGCGTGTACGCGCCGACAGGACGTAAGTGTGCAAGACTGACCCAGGTCTCGAAACACAATAAATACTAGGGCTGGGTAATAAATGAAGAGTTCAGATGCAAAAGCCTCTAAGTGCCATTTGAAATTTTCTTCTAGAATGATCATTTTTATCAAGCTTGTATATTTAAGTTAAGCGATTTCACTTAAATTGCAATGATAATTACCTATTAATTGTTATTTAAGTGAAATTACTGAACTTAAATACACAAGTTTGATAAAAATCATCATTAAAGAAGAAAATTTAAAATGGCATTTAGAGGCTTTTGCATCTGAACTCTTCAAATATTGATTTCTCGATGTTAATCGATTCTCATTTTTACGAACCGATATCGATTCTTAAATCTCAAGAATCGATTAGTCATCCTGTTTCATTTGAATGTATCACGGCTGCGCGCATCCAAAAATAAAAATAAATAAATAATCGCAATAATCTTTGTCCTTTGTTACTATTGATATGAAACAAAGTCTCAAATTTCAAATTACGTCCATTTTCTTTCGAAATTCAAAAACATAAATAGCGTTTTGTCGCTGTGGCGTGAGATCGCTCTGGAGAAGCAGCAGCGCTGATCTCTCTTCCGGCTTAATAATACCAGTCACAGCGCCAAATAAACATGAATGAGCATCTGAAAGCGTGTTAAAAGATAGAGTACAACTTATCGAAATTCGTATCATGTCACATTCAGCGTTACAATCGAGGAAAGACGTCAGTTAAACAGCTTGTAATCAATGTCATGTATCGTCATATTTACCTCAGAAAACCCACATAAACTCGTTAGTCAGATAAAAAAAATAACTCTAGAGGAGCATTTTGCTAAATATATACACCATATTACATATGCATTATAATCTTAATGTTCTTCAATAATTAAAGCATATTTGAATAAATCTGACATGTTTTTATGACAGCCACCATTTAAATGTTTATATTTCATATAATCTTCTTATTATAAAATAAATAAAAGTGTAATTTAAGTGTTTGTATAGCTACAAAACAGTTCATTATTAACTTCATATTAGGCTAATAAAGCCTATAGGCTACAACTAGACTGCCATAGTTTACAGCATTAGTTAAGAGATTTGATTCCCTTGAGAAAAATTGCCATTTATTGCAACTGATATCCAAAATAATCAATATTGAATCGAAATCGAATCGAATTGTGAAATTTGTGTCAATACCCAGCCCTACTAAATACATCTCGAACAGCTCTTCAGAGAGAGCCACGTTTGAGAGAGTCACAAATTGAAATTGCGAATTGAAAATACACCCAATGGAAACGCGTCAATTTCGCTAAAACTCGTACGCTCAGATGGGGAGCTTTCCAGGCAGTTCGAAAAACGAACATTTCACAAAACCTCAATGAAAACATTTACCGTCACCTGGCGTTAGATGGCGCTGTGTGTTTAGGCATAATAACGCGAGACCTTCATTAAACTCGTAAAAGACAAAAGTATTACAGGACTACTGGATTCTAAACAAAGAAATGCCAGAATTGATCAAGAGCTTGAAGCCGATATGAGGGAGAATCACCCATGACCAGCTCACGGTATAAGAGGTTTTCCTTGCTATGCTTGGATATTGATAACACGTTCAATAATTCGATTAATAATAGTATCTAGTGCGGTGCCTGGAGTATATGTAAACTAGAGCCCGATTGCTAAAGGATTTTGAAGGCCGATACTGATAGAAATATTTGTTGGTTTTAAAATCCGATATTCCGATATATCGGCCGATATATATATATTTTTTTTTTTCAGAAACGCGCAACAAAACATTAACAGATTTCCCTAACATAAGTTATTTGTGGTTATTTTTGAGTTAACAAAAATAATATGATAATGCATTTAAAAAAAAAATTGTTTCTTTCATTGTCACAACAGAACAGACGGATGATAGCGGCATTAGCTAGCTTTGTGGTTAGCTAGTCTATGACGAGCCATAATTTAGCAATGGATAACGTCATAATTGTAAAACATAAATTTTCAATAAAACAGGCCACGTCGCGTTCAGTCACGTTGTCAAAAGTTAAAAGCACAGTCAGTCAACTACACTGTAACAACGTAACGTAACTATTACTAGCTATTTCCACTTCACTCTCGGCTTATTTAACAGCAGCAAAACTGGACATGATAGACACAAATGTTGTCATGCTTATTTGAGTTAAGAGAACTGATGGGGATGTTCTTTTAATTGTTATTCAAGCAATGTATGCATCATGACCAACTCAACGAGTGTTACCAACAGGAACGGTGTAGAGTGCCCTCTGGTGGACAAACTATACAACTCCAACACTCATGACATGGTTCAAGCGTGTTTCGTCCGTTTTTATTTTATTGTTGAAATATTCATTTATCGGCCATTATAACTGCCGATACCGATAGTTTGGAAAATGCCTAATATCGGCCGATAATATCGGCCGGACGATATATCGGTCTGGCTCTAATGTAAACCTACCAACATGGTTCGCCATGATTTTTGGAATGACTCATCACGAGAGGGAAAAAAACAAACTTTTTTGTCGCATAAATCAGTTAATGGAAACGCCATCATTTCGCAATCGTTTTTATCGACATTTAGAAAATATCACAAAAGCTTTGCGCAAATCTGTAAGTAAACGCAGCTACTGATATTAGGGGTGTGCAAAAAAAATCGATTCACATTTGAATCGCGATTCAATCTTTACCGATTCAGAATCGATTCATAGAATTCCAAAAATCGATTCATATAGGCTATATTTTTTAATGGCGTGCAGGGGCGGAGTGGCAATCGGGTAAGTCGGGACTTTTACCGGTGGTCCGGTAGTGTTTCTATGGTTTCGAGGCTGCGAGGGCCGGTCTGATAAATAGTTATTGCAAGTTCTTGCCGCCCGCTGGTCAAACTGTGCAGCCACTCTGCTCAACCCGTAAATAAATGCATCGATCCGCAGATCTTATGTTTGAGTTCTGTAGATCTTTTGCCAAGCGTGTCAGAGGTGACGGGCTCTAAACCGCACTCTTATAGTTTTTTCTCTCTCTCATCAAAACCGAATATGTTCATCACGTTTGTGTGCATTTTATTTTGAGATTTCACCGGAGTCTCCACAACGGCGATAGATTGAAGCGCGCGTCCGAGAGAAGACTGCGCGAGCCACAGAGAACGCTGTATATCCATGACACTGATCGC